AATCCACTATATTTCATTTGATCCATTGAAATCCATTTGTACGAAGTTCTCGTGTTTATTAATTCAATAAAACGAATTTTGCGTTACACTTATCCTTATCATAGTTTATTTTAATCACCGTGTATTTTACTTAGTCCTTTCAAATAGGATTCTTATTCTCCAAATAAGATTCTTATTTTTATCTCCTTCAAATAGGATTCTTATCCTTATCATAGTTTATTTTAATTCCTTCAAAAGTTTTTTTTAATCACCGTGTATTTTACTTAGTCCTTCCAAATAGGATTCTTATTCTTATCATAGTTTATTTTAATTCCTTCAAAAGTTTTTTTAATCACCGTGATTTTGCTTAATCCCAGCTCATCCCTTGAAATTTCATATTGCAGATTATTGGTGGTGCTGTGCTTCATGATGGGTCGATTGCAGGAATGAAAACGGGAGAAGGGAAAACCTTAGTGTCGACTTTAGCAGCTTATCTCAATGATCTGAGTGGAGAAGATGTTCATGGTATGTTTTGTCATTTATTTCTTCTTAGAGACATAATATTACTGAATATACTTGGTTCCATACCAGGCTGATGTCACCAATTAGAGGTTGCTATTATTGGTTCAGGCTACCCTTATGCTGTAGTTAGTTTTATTTTTGATACTCTACAATTCTATCACACAATTGACAGTTAGTTTTATTTTTGATACTCTACAATTCTATCACACAATTGACTCTGTCAGGGTCAAAGTCTACATTATTTAAATCACCATCTCCCTTCATTCTCATAGCCCCTTCATTTTAATTATTCATCTTACAAAAATTGAATTTACCATGACAGTTATTTTCAACACAATTAAGCGTGTATGGTTCAAACATGACAAGAACCAACCTGAAAATCGTGTTGCAATGGAGATTTGTGTCTTAGACAAAAAGGTACACGGTGGTTTCTATTCAGCACCATATCCTTCGTATGCCCCTTCTGATTATTATCATATGAGCTATGGGTATTATAATTCGAGTTATTTTATTACATCAATTATTGTCAGTATATATATATATAAATAAACTATTATTATTGTCTCTCCTTGAATTGTAATTTGTTTGTGTTGGTTCTGGCCATGTCAACAATACATCTTATCCTTTGCGTTATGTTTAAGACCATCCACTACCATGACTCCAACAATGGGATTGGCAGGGATTGTGCGGAAAAAGTAGATAGGAAAATATTAAAAATAAATAAAAATTCTTTGCCTCATGAACGAGCTGCTCGTTCTGCCGCCCCCCAAGATCATTCATCTCCGATGTAACACTTGTCAAAGTATGAATGGATGTTATTTCTTTTTTAATTGTAAATTTTAATATGTAATTGTGTAGAATTTTAAATTTAATACAAATTATTATAGATAATATTTGATTAAAAATAAAACAAAAAGAAAATATTAAGATGAGTTGGGTTGGGTTGAGATGGTGTCATTGATGTGAGTAAAAATAAAATTGGGTTGTGGGTTGTATAGGTGGAGGGGAGAGAAATGAGTATTATATTAAAAAGTTGGATTGAGTTGGGTTGTGAAGGGTTATTATAGTGAGTAGTCTAAGAAATTTCTAGAAGATCCTTAATTTGGTATGACTGGTAATGCTGATAGAGTTAGATTTGTTTTCCCCTGTAGATATACAAGATAATCAAATATAGTATTTTTTTTTTGCATTTATCTCAACAGTCAATTTACTTTTCACTAATCCAACAAGCCTGAAAAAAAAATATTTAAACACAAATACCCATGTAAATACACGGGGGTTGAATTAGGAAGCATATGTAAGAAATATTATTTTTTTTAAATTAAAATAATTTAATTTTATATAAAACTTTACTTTGAGTTTTAATTAAATAGTCAAATTATATAGAGCCTGCATATTTTTGTTTTCTATTTTTGCACTTTTATACGACAACATGTGTTTTTTTTATTATTTATTATTTTATATTTTTTTTAAACAATCCGTGTAGTACACGAGTGTCGTACTAGTCTATATTAATATAAAAAGATTGACTAATTATCTGGTAATATCATGACCTTACAATTTTATTTACAAGAGAAATGCTATGGAGCCAATAGTTGACTCTTTTATGGAGCCAATCATTAGCTCCATAGCATTTTCGTTATTTACAATTTTAACCAAACTTTTAGAATTTAGCAGGAATAACCTAACCTTACGTTTGCAACCCAAACCCAAAATTAAACGGGTCACATTTTTGTCAGCGCGTTCGTTAATTAACGGACATTTCCATTTTCCAACAGGGAAGAGGATCATTAAATATCTTGACACCTCCAAACTTGGTTTATTATTTTCTATTGGTTCATTTACCAAACTCCAAGCATATTGTGATGTTGATCTGGTGGAGTGCCCGAACACGAGAAGATCTACTATTGGTTGGTGTATCCTAATAAAAAAGGCTTATATAACTTGAAAATGTAAGAAACAGATTCACTAAAAAAGGCTTATATATCTTGAAAATGTAAGAAACAGATTCACTATCAAAGTCCTCTACCGAAGTAGCACATCTCGCTAAGTTTTTCACTTGTTTTGAAATAATNCGAAACGATAGGAATTCATTCATATAACTGAAAATGTATTTACGACTCGGGAGGCTAAGTAACCTCATATCGAAACAAGAGAGAACCGATCAACAGTCGGTCTACAACAAAATAATACATAAATTGCAACTGAAGGCAAGAACACTGCTTGAATCCTTCAGTCACAACAATACATGTTCAACTTTATACATCATTATAATGAAGTTGCTTGTCACTCTATACAAAAAGCATATGATTGCAGAATCATCAATCTTGAGCATGTCTCCACATCTATTCAATTGGTCGACATTTCTACCAAAGTATTGACTCGTCAAATTGATGCTTCTGGACCTACCAATATCAATTTGAGGAGAAATGACGAGGTAATTAGTGTAGTCAAATAATAGTTACATTTTATTTAAGGAGTTAAAATGTGGTCAAATTGCAGTTACATTATATGTAATAGGCTAAAGCTCAGGTTGTAAACAGTTTAGCATAATTTATGGACTGGTTCGGTTGGAATTAAGTTGTATATATACAAAAAATTTCCAACTTCATATATCTTTTTTTTTTTCAAAAATTCACATTGGGATCATATGTTGCTAGCTTTGTACTAAAACACGGTCAAGGCGCCTATGCGCTAGGTGGCGCCTAGGCGCTGGGTGGCACGATTTTTGCCTAGACGGTCATTCTAGGCGCTCCAATTATTAGGCGGCGCCAAGGCAGACTAGGCGATGCCTAGACGGTTGTGAAAGTACTCACGCCTAAGAGCATCTGCAATGCATTGGGTCTAATTTTACCTATGTGGCATATGAATAAACTCAAGTCTTGGATGACATGGATAAAACTATAAAAAATTAACAAAATTCACTCAAATGTAAAGAGACTAGGTCTTGACTTGGGTCTAAAATAGACTTAAGGGTAGGCCGAGTCTCTTTTTTTTTTTTTGCCACATCAGCAGAACCTAGTTCACATTTACTTGCATTGGAGGATACATGTTTCAAAATTGAGTCTATTTCTTATGTGGCATTTTTTTTTTATTGAACCCAAAACATTGTGGATACTCTAAGTGGGCTAGACGTTCTTGGCGGTAGGTGCTCGTATATAAATTTTTTTCAAATATCTATATATATAATTGCTGGCTAATAGCATTTAATAAAACATTTAATAAAAATCATTTCGATTTCCCTCCAAAAACCGTTACAAACTTTATCATTTATATATCTCTCTATATTTAATTACCAACAATAAATTTAACAATATTAATTATTGTTTACCATATTTTATGTTACAATCTTCTATTATTATTATTAATCCATCATATCTAATTAATGCTAAAATATTTCATTGCACTTTTTTATGGTTAATTAAAACAAAACTGTTACATTTTATATTAATGGAGTAATAATTATATTATTTTATTATATCATGTAATAGTTGTTATTAAAACTAATAACTATAATTTACACTAAATGATATATGAAAATTACATAAACATAAAAAAATATTGTAATAATCTTATTTAGCGATTGTATTTTTAAATAAGTTAATTTATTGTAATGTTATATTAAAATTCCTTAAAATTGCATAATCAAATGTTATAATAAATTTAATGTTTTTAAGCTAATAAATTGGCGATCTCTCAAAATTACAGTATTTAGCATATTTTATGTAATTAATATAGTGGTTTATATGCAATAAAATAGTTATGTACTATTTATTTTAACCAATGATCAAATTTTAAAACATAATATCATTATCTTATTTATATTTTTATTATTATATGCATAAATATAACTTATAATACTCTATGTTTAAAATATAATATCATTGTGTAACTTATCATTTTAATACTAGCATAAATATAACTTATAATATTCTATTTACATTGTGCAAATGCACAAGGTCGAATACTAGTTTAACTTAAAAATAGAAATAATTTTGTTTTCTACACATGGAAATTGTATTAATTATATAATAAAAATATTGATAATTATTTCATAATTAATACAATAATTATGAATGCATTAGATTTTGCATAACATTTATTTCGACCATATTAATTAATATATTTGATATAATATATCTTTAATAAATAATTTCATTAATATTTTACAAGTCCTAGCAACACATTTTTCATTTCGACATAAAACAAGAATTTATCCCAAGCCCTCTTCAAAATTTATATCGAAAATCTTACATACATGTTCTGTGTATACAATGAAGACGTCCTGGTTTGAGTTTGCACAACTAATAAAGTTCAAAATTGTTT